ACAACATTCAAGAATTCTAGAGCATGTTTTGAAGCACTCCCATTCAGTCGTGCATGTGCAGTTATATGTGTTTGCTGCAGACTGGACAACTTTTTGTTGGGAGGTTTTATTGTCAGTAATTTGGCCAAAGTTATAATTGCCAGATTCTGACGTGCATTTCCTTTTCTGATTCTCGTTTTGAGATTTTTTTTTTTTTTTTAATTTTTTAAATCATAGAAGCTATGTAATACTGAACAGATTAATGGGACAGCATTGCAGAGGCTTCCGAATTTGCCTTAGAATCCTCTGGTTTCAAATATTTCTACAACATTAAATTCAAACTGAAAATGCAGACCATAAGATAACCCTATATGCTGATGATGTAATACTTTTCCTTGGGAACTCACAAATCTTTCTTCTGAAGATGATCACACTTATAGATAAGTTCTCATCTATATCAGAATACTCCATCAACTGGAATACGTATAAATTTTTCTGCCTGGTTTTCAGATTTGTCAGGGTTGAATCACATTCCTCAACTGCAAATAGTAGAGGATGATCTCACACGTTGGAATACTTGTATGAATCACAGAGAGGGTAGCCAAAATTAAAATGATGGTTATGACTATAATCAACTACTTGTTTTTACTGATCCCAAATAAACCCTCTGTTGATTGGTGTAGGTCACTAGATCTTAAATCATTTAAAATTTAAAATCAAAACACAATTTGTATATTACTAATTTTTAGACTAGATTTTTAGACTTGGTCCCCACTGAACAGTTCCGTTGCTTAATGGGGGTGGTCAGCTGTAGTCTTGTCTCTCCACATACTTAGCAGGGGTATAGTGGATATATTGGACAAAGGAGGCTGTATACAGAAATGTAAGACCGGAGGAAAGGAGGAAGACCACTGAGAAGATTTATAGATTTATTGAAGAAGGGCTAGGATAACAGAGGAGGATATTGGGGATAGGGAACAGCTACTTCTTTTGGTCACTGTCTGTAGGGGACACCACAGCAGACCAACTGCCTCCATATCATCGTAAGTGCCAAGTTTTGGTAGAATAATTTAGTAAAGACAAAATTATATTGCATAGACTATGTTAGTGTAGTCATCAAGTCATTACTGAGGCTGACTTTGACCTTAGAGGTTTAAAGTATTCAAGCAAGCTAAGATTAGCCATTTATTTGTAACTTAGCTAAACTGCATCAGCTATCTCTTTTTATAGGATATCCAGGCTTCTTATATCTTTAGCATATGCCTGTTGGAGTACATCTAAGATATATTTTATTTGGGTTGAAACTAATTGATTTCTGTCATCTACGGTAGTTTCATAGAGAAACATCCCGTTCCATTTCCATAACAATGGAAATGCCTAAGTGAGGCGTGTAAAATGTAGAAATAACTAAACTGTATCTAATTTTTTACTGTACAGCAGGTAGTGTCATGTTTGCTGTGTGGCAGGATGCAGGACCCAAATGCAGGACTCACAGAAAATGAAAGAGTGAACTAAAGGAGGCAGCTTTATTTAGGCTGTAAAAAACTCTTCAAACATACAGAAAACCAAACCAAAAGTGAGGAACTAGAAATACGGACAAAAATCAATACACTATGACACTGGGAAGCTAAGGAACTAAACTGGGAAACACCTAGGAAACTATGAGGAGCACCGAAGGGAAAAAAACATAGAGGGTGGTGCAATGTGACAACAAGCAGGGGAACACCGAGAACTAAAATACACAGGTAGGATCACGAGAGGTTGTAAATTATTAAATTATTCAAACTAAGAAGAAGAACAGAAGGTTGATTTAGAGATAGTGCTTGGAAAACTGGAAAGTACAAAGGTTACAAATGGATGTCATGGATGTGATAAGTGTTTAACTCTCCTGTTCATAATCACTGTGCTTTATAGCTGTGTGACAATAAAATGACACTCATAAAGTAAAAGTGTTATGAAAAATTGTTTCTGTTAAACTATAACTAAAGGTTCAAATATAAGACAAATCACTTGGAGACCACACATGATGAAATAAAAATGTTATAATTTACTTATTAAGAAATGTATTGAAACAAAACTTGCATAGATTTCTTCTGAATAGTTTTTCTTCCATAAGACTGTAGTGAAAAGAAAATTTGGTTTGCTACCAAATACAAATTACATAGCATTTTGTTTTATCTTATTCTCAGTAAAACTTAATTTCCTATAGGAACCTATTCAAGGGATTAATAAAGTTCTATCTGTCTGTCTGACTGTCTGTCTGTGCAGGCCCAGACCAATCTTGAACCAATTTAAACACTTAAAAAAACATCTGGTGAAGAGCTGAAGCCAGACGTTCAGAGGAACGGACGTCAGTGTAAACAATCAGTTTCCCAAGGAGATCCTGGAGAGACACAAGGTCCTTCCCAATCTGAAAAAAACTTTATCCAAGAAGGGTCTTGAGCTTTTGTCACAGTCAATAATCTGTATGTCAACAGGCAGCTTTATCAGGACCAAAACAACACCCTATGGCTATGACTCAGGTGACGTGTATTTACACGATTGTCTTTTGCTTTTCTCTTTTCACTTTTTGTTTTCACTCTCCTTTTCCACTAATCTAATGGAATTGACTACATAAAACAATTAGCAATAGCCAGCAAAGCCTGTGTACCTGTTTTTGTTTTTGTAACAGAGGTGCGGTCTGCTGCTCCACTGCAGAGGCGGGATGGTGCAGTGGGCTCATGGATCAATGCCAGGGTGGCTGGCAGGGCAGCTGCCCCCATTTGGCTAAGTGGGCTGACAGGAAAGCTGCTGGGAAAATCAACAATAACACTTGTCAAAGACACATTCCTTCAACTGTCAGCGATCATGCACTGCTATCTTTCCACTGACATAGCAAAGAGTCACATCACCAATTAGGAGCTAGAGATTTAATACATCATTGCTAAAAGAACAAGATTTCATTAATTATTTCAAAAAGAAGCAGATAATGTAGTTAGATAATAATGAACTCAGTGAATATCCCCATGTATTTTATGGGAAACGGGAAAGGTAGGAATGTAGAGCAAAATTTAATGTTCATATAAGAAAAAGAAGGAAAAAATGCTTGTATCAGAACTAGGACAAAAAATAAATAATTGGAATCAGCCTATGTTGCCTCACCACAAGAACATATAATTAACAACCTGAGAAAACTAAAACTAGAATAAAATGACATCATTAATGAGAGAACAAAATGTCTGATGCAAAGGCTGCATTTGGAGAACGTTGAACATGGTAATAAATCTGGAAATTCTTTGCTAACAGGTTAAAGTTAAAGTTAGTAAAGAAATGGAGGAACGCACGGATGTTGCTGAGACATGTGCCCCCAGGTCTTCGGTACTCTTGGGAGCTGCGGATGGTTGTCCTGGTTCCATCTACGTCTGCCTCATTATCAAGTACATTTGTGACAAAGACACTCTCTCTATCTCTTTCTTTGTCACTGATTCACACTACGACAAAAGTTTGGATTTATGTATCTGTGTATTGTGTATTTTCTATTTTTTGTATTCCGGATGCTGTATGTTTGTTTTTTCTTACAGGTGTAGCAGATTTCTCTATAATTGTGGGGACTTTATCTTACAATATAAAGCACCTTGAGGACGCTATGAATAAAAACTGAACTGAATTGAATTAAAAAATAATTTGAATCAAGAAGAAAGAGAGTTATGGATGTGTTGAAGAATATAAGTAGGTATAACAAATTGTGACTTTAAAGGTTGTTAGAATACAGACACTGTCCATTTATGTTTAGAGACACCAAAACATGGTAGTGAAGTGCCCAGGGCCACCCAAAATATAGCCACTTGTCAATGACAAGGCACCCAGGCCCTAAATTATATTTTGTTTTGTTTTCTGTTTTCTCTAAATGGGACCATAAATAACAAAAATCATGCTGCACTTTAGGTATGAAACTATAAATGCAGTAGTTTATGAGATTCTTAGTCAAGTGAGAAGTTAGCAAACTTTCTTGTAGTATGTAGTATGGCTTAGTGTACTATGTCTGTCTTTTATTTGTAAGTAATGCAAATGTAGTTCCAAAACTTTTTTCACTGTGACTGGATGGCAGCTTTAAACATCTAACCTTATTTTGCATGCCTCAGTAATATGTTCTGGGCTTTAAGTTAGAAGTGCGGTAAAGTTATGTTGAATCATGGTAAAATATCAATACCAACAAATAGTGCGTTTCAGTGATCTTTATGAACTTTATGTTCTAACATGGATTTGACATACTCAGAATAAAAATGTAAAAATTTCAATATGTTATTTCTTTTCATTAAATGCAAGAGCAAATATCAAAATCAATTCTCATCAGAAAACATCAGAAACAGTAATATTTTAAATATGACTGAGTGAGCAACAATCAAATGTAATCATCCTGAGGTAACTGACAGGCTTTCTTGAGTTTTGTTTCTTCCAAGAAAAGTCTGCTCTATCCTCAGCAGATGACATTCACAGCAAAATCTCCAGTGTTAAATTAACACTGGAGAGTGTCTATATGGGTCCAGACCTCTGAGTGTTAAATACAACACTGTTGAGTGTTAAATTAACACTTTTGACAGTGTTATATGTTTAAAAGTAACCTAGTCAGTTTTGAAGATTAACAAAGACTAACACTGAGCAGTGCTGATTTTCTAACACTGGAATATTTCTAACATTTTGAGTTATTTTCCAGTGTTAGAAAATCAGCACTGCTCAGTGTTAGCCATTGTTAATCTTCAAAACTGACTAGGTTACTTTTAAACATATAACACTGTCAAAGTGTTAATTTAACACTCAACAGTGTTGTATTTAACACTCAGAGGTGTGCACCCATATAGACACTCTCTAGTGTTAATTTAACACTGGAGATTTTGCTGTGTTGGTATTTACAATGCTATTGTTAATGTATCACCTGTTATTGCAAATGGGAGGAGAAATGCTACCCACAGCTACATATCCAAGTTCACCTTCCACCTCTGAATTCAGTGTCTGAGTGTGGGGCTCCTGGGTAGGCAGGCAACATGGGGAAAGGTTTCTTTATTAGTAAAACTGTTGGGATTTTGGGGATCATCGCAGGTGTGGGAGCCTTAGCCACTATCATAGCTTTGTCAGTTGTTTACTCACAGGAAAAGGGGAAAAACAATAATCAAAATGAAGAACAAACAACCTCCAAACCCCCTACCACAACACCCATTCCATCCAATAAACCTTGGGACAAGTATCGGCTGCCCAAGAACCTGGTGCCAGAGACATATAATGTCACCTTATGGCCAAGACTGACTCCAGACCCAACAACTGGTCTTTACACCTTCTTAGGTAAGGCTTTATGAGTACTTTTCTCTCTTTCTCTGTAATGTTCATATAATAGACCCTCCCGGTATCAGCAAGAACTAAAGCCAGAGGGTGTTTACCAGCATTGTTCTCAGAGGTAGAAGTATGATTGTAATGCTTTTTATTAGTTTTCCAAGGGATGACTGAAAATGTATAATGTAGAACAGACAATAGAATGAATAACACTGATCACACTTGAAATGTCTTTGAAGAGTTGATGAGAGTTGTTGAATCCATTCTAAGCCCAACTAACAGTTGCGCACTATATGGAACAGAAATTAAGCAAAATATTGTTAAGCACAAATGAAGCACATTTTAATGGTAAACTGTGTTGGAAAAACAGGTTGCAGTTAAACAACAGAGACAGCAATGCTTACAGTAACAGGAACATTTGAGGTGGAAAGGCTTAGAATGCTATAGTGAAATATGCATGCAGTTTTGATATAGTTAAAGCAATGGTAAGTCCAGGTGGCTTTTAATTTAAAACTACAAAACCAAGTCAATGGAGGGGAAATTTGGCTTCTTTTAACATCAGATTTCAACTTAAGCTCAACACTTTCAGCCTGTGGTGCTCCAACAATGAATTGTCAGAAATTGTCAAAAATAAATGTGCTGAACGTGAATCTAAATGTGGACTTGAATTAATCAGAAATAGTTTTTAAGCACGGTGGCATGGTCATGAGTAGGGATGGGTACCGGTGTCCGGTGCCATGATGGCACCGGTTCTGACATAAACGGTAGTAACCAGACCGAAAAGCAGCGCACATTTCGGTGCTTT